CAGCTTCATGTTTGTTTATATTTTGTGTGTTTGTGTTGCAGCTTCATCTCAGTCTGTCTCTGGGCTCCAGCGGTGACGATGTTTCTCAGGAACCAGCAGCGGTTCAGTCTCTTAACTTGTTGTTGAAAAGTCTCGGAGCTTCGCTGACGGACGTTGACGACCTCATCTTCAAGTGAGACACCGTCTGCTGCCTCTGTCTTATATTTACGTTTTAAATATAACTGAATACAAACATGTTCGTCCTTATTTATAGTTTTATACAGTAACATCATCAACTTTTAAAAGTTTGTATAAAACCAGATCAATGTCGGACATTAGGGTCAAATCTGACTTCCTGTCGGGTCTGATGTGCTGTTTGCTGATTGGTTGTCTCTCCCTGACAGACTGGCGTTCTTCGAGGTGAAGTTTCAGTTCTACCGCAGAGAGAAGCTGATGTGGGCTGTGGTCCGACACTACAGCGAACAGGTAACGTCACTACGTCTTCGTCTGTTCAGTCATGACTTCCTCCTCGCTCCGTCTCCACACTCGTCTTTAGAATCTCATTCATTCTTCCTGCTCGCCGCATCATCATCATCTTCTTGCTGCTCGTCTTCTCGTCTTCTCATCATCGCTCTCCTGAAAACGATCTGAGGAGTCAGCGTCTCTGTGGATCAACTTTCCGTCTGTGTCGCGTGTGAAAATCTCTTATTTGAAATATTATCTTATTTGTGGCTGCAGTTCCTGAGGCAGATGTACGTTCTGGTTCTGGGTCTGGACGTCTTGGGAAATCCGTTTGGACTGATCCGAGGTCTGTCTGAGGGAGTGGAGGCCTTCTTCTACGAACCGTTCCAGGTAACGTAGAGACTGAAACTCACCTTCACGTAAACTCTTTTCATGAATAGTCATGAAAATGTGTCAGTTTGCGTCTGATACGAAAAACGTATTAATAATGATGATGTAATGTTCTGAATTCACTGATCATATGACATCACGTGGAATCATTTTCAAATGACAGACGTTAATGTGACTTTAAATGATATCGTTTTTAATGTTTATATATAAATGAACCTGCCGTGTGTTGCTCCGGGTTCAGGATGTGTTCGTATCGATGTTTCATTGTTGTTTTGAATCACACACGTGTTGTGGGTGTCGCTCAGGGAGCTGTTCAGGGTCCGGAGGAGTTCGCTGAAGGTTTCGTGATCGGCGTTCGCAGCCTGTTGGGTCACACCGTCGGTAAGAAACTGGAAATCTACAAAACCGATGAATCAATGAAAAATGAAAGTAAAGAAGAGGGGTCACTGTATTTAGTCACAAAAACCTGAAAACATATTTTTTT